CCCCAAAACCCCAAAACCCCAAAACCCCATTATAACAATAATCAATTGATAAATGATAAAACACATAAAGCCAATACTGTGGAGTTAAGTTTAAGGAAAAGATTATGAGAATTATTCAGAGTGCTAGGAAGCCAAAATTTTATTCCAAAATACTTAATATGATATTTCCAATCCTCCTTATTATTTGTCGTAAAAATGACAATTGGGCCGGTATCGAACTCGTCACAAACTCTACTGATTTGCTATTTGTATTTAAAATTCCTCAAAAAGTAGCCACATATAATTACTTTAATAAATGGGTCTTATAATTCTATAAAATTACTATTTCTTCTCTATTTAGATCAAAAATAGCATAATTTTACTCGTAACTTACCAGCTCCCCAAAGTGTCCTTAAACTTGGTCACAATAATTTTCACTTATGTTTCTTTTGGTAAGCCAAGATTTTGGTCCTGAATGTAAATAGAAGTTCCTCCCTCGAGACCAAGCTTTTCTGATTTTTACAGGAATTATAGAGGCATCATTTTTATGTAAGCTATTGAAAATAAATTTCCTTTTCTTTTTTAATAATAATTACCAGAGATGATATACAAACGTTGACAGCTCTGGTGTCTATTAACAAATAGGGTTTCTCCTGAGTCTGTCACTTATCCTCCTAAATGTGGTAAATTAATTTTAGGGTTTGACTACTGTTAGGATCATTAAAAGCTAATAATTTCTCTAAAGTATCTATGTATAATAATAATTTGATAATACTTAGGCTGAATAGCCTGAAAATTGGTAATGAACCCATATAAGCCAATATGAATTTGTGGTTGAAATAATTCTGGATATGATTATACAACCTTGGATTCAGTCTGCTCTTGGATCTCGGGGGTTACGTCTTCAAGTGATAGAGAATTAGAGTTGATCTTCTGGCAAGTGGTAGCATCACAGAATGGAGCAGTAGTAGATAATTTTCATCCACACAGATGGATAGTATCAACTTGTTGTTCAATTCTAAATTTGAGAGGTTTGAATTTGGTTCCTCTATGGCTTCCATCACACAATGGCTGGCTTCTGTTCATTCCACAGGAACACCACCTATATTGTTTGGCTCCAACGATTGGTTCCTTGATTTCATAAGCAGCTATTCTAGGAGTCACTGGGAAAGGTCTTTCTCCTTCGTCAAGCCCTCTCTTAAGTTCTTTGGGATTAAACTTCTGGAGAGTGACATTGTCAAGTGCAAGAAGGTCAGGGTGCAAAACTCATGCATATTCTTCTCTCTTTCCTTAACTGAAATTTGGAATGAAATCTCTCCAAAAATGTTATCATCTTTAACTGGGATAAGAGTAACATTCATTATGACTTCTTGGGCTTTGTTTTTAGATACTATTTCTACAGAATAAGTGAAAATGATTACTTTTGACAACTTCAGCCTTAACTAGAGTTCTTTCCCAGGCTTTTTCTGTGGTAGTGTTTCCTTTTTCTTGAACCATCCGATAATTGGTCTCTTAGCATAAATGGAGAGAAGACCTATTTTCAAGGATAAGTTTTATGAGATATTTTGGAAATTAAAATTAATAATTTGACAATTGAAGGAGTAGGCTAGTTTACCTTTGTTTGCAAGAGGCTTTTGGAAGAGAATTTTACTTATCATTTTCTTCTAAATTTTATAAAAATTCAATAAAAAGTTATAATTCGGGGTTTTGGGGTTTTGGGGTTTTGGGG